GCGTCCCCTCCCGCTGGGTGTGTCCCTCCTGCAGGGTGTGTCCCCTCCCTTGCGGTGCGTCACCTCCCGTGGGGTGCTTGTCCCCTCCCGTGGGGTGCTTGTCCTCTCCCGTGGGGTGCTTGTCCCCTCCCGTGCGGTGTGTCCCCTCCCGTGCGGTGTATCCCCTGCCGTGCGGTGCGTCCCCTGCCGTGTGGTGCGTCCCCTCCCGTGCGGTGCGTCCCCTGCCGTGTGGTGCGTCCCCTCCCGTGCGGTGTGTCCCCTGCTGTGCGTCACCTCCCGTGGGGTGCTTGTCACCTCCCGTGGGGTGCTTGTCCTCTCCCGTGCGGTGCGTCACCTCCCGTGGGGTGCTTGTCCCCTCCCGTGGGGTGCGTCCCCTGCCGTGCGGTGCGTCCCCTGCCGTGCGGTGCGTCCCCTCCCGTGCGGTGCGTCCCCTGCCGTGCGGTGCGTCCCCTGCCGTGGTGGTGCGTCCCCTCCCGTGCGGTGCGTCCCCTGCCGTGCGGTGCGTCTCCTCCCGTGTGGTGCGTCCCACGGCGGCCTCGACCCTGACACACGTACAGCCTGTCGGCTGATCCCCTCGCCCATCCCTGCCCGCAGTAACCAGGTGGAGGACCAGGACATCCAGATGATGAACGAGAGCCAGGTCATCACCAACTGCAGGCGGAAGCAGAGCGCTGCTGCGGACCCAGGTCAGTGTCCTGTCTCACCCCCCACCCAGGCTCCCTCCTGGGGAGTCTGGACCAGAGAATGTGGTGGGGGTTTCCCTGCACCCACTCGTCTCCTGTTCTTCAGGTCACCTTCCTCCCCCCCTTGGGAGCTGCCCCAGAAGCTGGCCTGGGTGGAGGGCGGTGAGGCTTGGTGCAGACCAGCTATCTGCTTCCTGCAGGCCCCCCGCCCCCCATGGCAAGATGCAGTGTGCCCTGTGTTAACGGGTCTGGGGGAAAGAAGCCGTCAGGAGCTCAGCCCTCCTGACACCTAAGCGCCATGGGTGAAACGGGCAGGAGCCGAGTAAACAAGCTGAAGGGAGGACTTGTGCTGGCCTGAGGAGCTCTGGAGCCAAGTGGTCAGGCCGGGGCGAGGAATGGGGGGCAGGTGAGCTGAGACCTACAGGAATCCAGGCCAAACGAACGGCCAGTGCAAAGCCTTGAGGCAGGTTGATCTCAGTGTGTCACAGGCACATCCAGGAGACCACTGAGAACAGGGCCTGGAGAGGCCGAGAGCAGGAGATGACGTGGGAGACACAACCAGGGCAGAGCCATGCTGGCCATGCTGACGGTACAAGGAGGGCCACTGGGGGGGTTCACCAAAGCACAGCACATGCCCTCACGGAGGTTTCTTTAAAGATAATAATGCAGGAAGCGTCAAAAGGCGATACAAGAATTGCCTGCTGCTCAGCCGTTTCAGGGAGTAGCATCTGACTGAGAACTGAAGCTTTCAGAGGCAGGAGACAGGCTCCACTGAAGGCATTGACTAAACCCCCAGGCTCCGGGAGCTGATGGGACACCGGTGGAGATGCAGCAGAGATGCTCTCAGTCATATATACCAAGAATTTCGGAAGACAGCTGTCTGGCCAGCTGATGGGAAAAGAGCCATATTGGTGCCCCTTCAAAGAAAGGTGATAGGACATTATATGGAAATTGTTGAACAATAGCATTGCTACCGCACACAAGTAAAAAATCCTGTTGAAAATCATTAAAAAGCTGCGGGAGAAGTATATAAACAGGAAACTGCCAGAAATTGAAGCCTGATTCAGAAAAGGATGTGGAATGAAGGATGTCTTTGCGGACTTTGGATGGCTCTCGGCTGAAAGCAGAGAATAATATTGACTATGCAAAGGCAACAAATTATGACTAGCACTGAGAAGAAGGGGAATCCCAGAACACTTAATTATGCCCGTACAGAACCTATGCCTAGACAGAGAAGCTTTCGTCCACAGCGAGCACGGAGCAAGGCGTGGTTTAAAGTCAGGAAAGTTGTGCATCAGGGTTACGTCCTTCCTCCGTATCTGCGCAGTCTGTATGCTAAGCAGATACTCAGAGAAACTGGATTCTGTGAAGAAGGATGTGGGGTCAGGATCAGAGGATCATTTACAACCTGTCTTAGGCAGATGACACAGCCTTGCTGGCTTAAAGTGAGGAAGAACTGAAAATGTGCTGCAGAAGATCAAGGACTGCAGTCTTCAGTACGGATTGCATCTCAGCATCAGGAAGACAAAAATCCTCACCACTGGACCAGTCAATAAGCAACATCATGATGTTGTTGTCTTTATGAGGCATCAAGTTGCCTGCAACTAGTACTGACGCTATGTACAACTGCCCTAAACCCTGCTCTGCCCTGTGCCAATCTCACTGTCTCCAACATACCTACCCCTGTTACCCCTGTCACTGAATCAGTCCCCTCATTGAGGGTCTTCCTGTCCTGAGCTGTCCCTCCACCCTCCCAAGCATGATGTCTCTTGCCAAGGACTGGTCCCTCCTTGCACCATGTCCAGAGTATGTCAGACAAAGCTTCAGAATCCTTGCCTTCAAGGAGCAGGCTCACTTAACCCTCTCCGGGACGAACCTGTTTGTTGTTTTAGAAGCAGATGAATCAAATGTTGAAGTTGTCAACATTGTCATGTTAGTTGGATCCACAGCCAGCACCGTTGGTACCAGCAGTCAGGAGACGTATTGCCCAGTGCAAGTCTGTTGTCACGATCTCTCCAAGTTACCAAGGAAGAGTGATGTCCCTTTGAAAACTGATATGCACCTGATTCAGCTCGTGGTCTTTTCAGTCACTTGCTGTGCATCTGAGAGCTGGACAGTGAATAAGGATGACAGAAGAAGAATTGCTGCCTTTGAGTTGTGGTGCTGGAGAAGAGCACTGAACATCCCACGGTCTATCAAAAGAACAGTTATGTTTTGGAGAAAGTGCAGCCAGAGTGCTCCTTGGGAGCGAAGATGTTGTCCTTGCTCTCACATACTTTGGACATGTTGCTAGGAGATGCCACGCCTGGGCGTCTCCTTGAAGAGGGACATCATGTTTAGGAAGATGGAGGGTCAGCGAAAGTGAGGAAGAGCCTTGACAAGGTGGACTGACAAAGTGACCGCAGTGATGGGGTCGAGCGTGTCAGAGACGAGGACGGCACAGGATAGGACGGGCTGCACATTGTTCACGGGGTCGCTATGAGCTGTACTCAACAGCTCCGAACCCCAACTACAGCAACAGCATGCAAAGACGTTTAACTGTGTGGATCATGACAAATTCTGGGTGACATTACAAAGGTTGGAAATTCCGGAATGCTTAATTTTGCTCATGAAGAGATGATCTAGAATAGACCGACAGTCAGTCATACAAACAGGACGGATACTGTGGTTTAAAGCCAAGGAGGATGTGTGTGAGGGTTGTGTCCTTTGACCATATTTACTCTGTGCTGAGCAATGAATCCGAGAAGCTGAACTATATGAAGAACATGGTCTCGGGATTGGAGGAAAATTCATTAACAATCTGTGATGTACAAATAATACAAGTTGAAACATTGAGTATTAAAGATCAGACTCCATCCTCCTCTGGGAATCATATTTCATCCTTCAGGAAACAAACATCCGCACAGCTGGACCAATAAGCAAATTCATGATCGAGAGAAAAGACTCTGGGACTCCAGGATGTCATTTCTGGGGTCCACATCAGCACCCATGGAAGCAGCAGTCAGGACACCAAGTGACCTACTCTGTTGGGCACGTCTGCTGCTGAAAAACAAAAATGTAAAAACAAACAACTCCTTGCGCGCTGCCATCACATCAGAGCTGCCCCTCCCGTAGATTCCCAGAGGCTTAAATCACGGGGAGATCGCCCCTCTTTTTTTTCTCGGAGCAGCTGGTAGATTCGAGCCGCCCACCTCAAGGTACTGACGAGGCCACCAGAGCTCTCTCAGACCTCTGTAAAATATTAAAGAGCAAGATGTCACTTTGAGGACTGTGTGACATGAAATTGTCAAACTCCTGATATGAGTAGGGAGACCAAAGAGGAACCGATGCTTTTGGACTATGGTGTTGATGAAGAAGAAGGGATATACAGTGGGCTGGGGGGGGGGAAGAAAAAGAATAAATAATACCTCTGGAGCAGAAAGCGCCTTAGAAATGGGGACGGTGAGGCTTCGTGTCACGTACCTTGAACGTGTTGTCAGGAGGGACCAGACCTGGAGAAGGACGTGCTCTGTAAATGCATCGTAAATGAGGACCCTTGGTGAGAAGGGTTGACGTGGTGGCCGGAACAGTGGGCTCAGATGCAGACGTGGTTGTGAGGATGACGCAGGAGCAGACGATGCTTGGTTCTGTTGTGCACCGTCATTATGAGTCGGGACCTGCCAAATGGCCCCTAACAGCGAGACAGTTATGAAGAAGGGCTAACTTTTACATAGTGTGAGGGACCGTGCTTCTGTAAAGTTGTTGTTGTTATGTGCCGTCGAGTCGCTTGCGACTCATAGCGACCCTATGTACACCAGCCCTAAACCCTGCTCTATCCTGTGCCAATCTCACGGTCTCTGACACACCCGTCCCGATTACCCCAGTCACTGAATTAATCCACCTCATCGAGGGTCTTCCCCTCCTGCGCTGTCCCTCCACCCTCCCAAGCATAACATCCCTCTCCAAGGTCTGGTCCTTCCTTGCAACGAGTCCAGAGTATGTCAGATGAAACTTCAGAATCCTTGCCTCCAAGGAGAAGCCTGGTTTTACCGTCTCTAGGGTGAATCTCTTTGTTCTCCTAGCAGTCCATGGTATGTTCTGTAACCGAATTAATCCTCACAGCAAAGCCAGGCCTCGCCAGGAGTCGTGAGCAGGGAAGCTTTGGTGGAGGGCGCTGGGAGATGGAGTGACTTTGCTGGGAGATGGCAGGACTTTGCTGGGAGATGGAGGAATTTGGCGTTGCTGACGCTGGGACCAGAGCTGGACAGCAGGAGACCAGGAAGAAGCACAGTGGGCAGGACTTGGTGGGCCCCTGGGAGTGGATTGTGGAGGGGGAGGCTGTGATCATCTTGCCCCCTTTCCCACAGCCTGCCAGGCACTGGGGTCACTAATCTGTTCCAAGCAGACTTGGCCGGAAAGCCAGGGGCGGGAGCAGGGCTCGAAGGTCCCAGAGGCCCAGGTCTGAGCTCCAGCTGGTGCCACCCCAGCCCAGAACCTGGGTGGCCCTCGGCGTCCTCAGCTTTATAAGGCAGCTGGTGATAACCTGCAGGTTTGTGAGATGAGAAAGTGAGGTCCAGACTCAGCAGTTAGGTGTCTGAGGAGCATTTGACTTGGGTCAGATAGCTCTGAGTTCAAATCCCAGCTACCTCCTTAATAGCAACAGGAGCTTGGAGAAGCCCCTACTCAAGCCTCAGTCTCCGCTTGAAGTGAGCGGGCCTTTCGTGGTCTGCCCCATCATAGAGCCCCAGTGAGACACGGGTGAGAGGCTTTGCCCACTGCAAGGCGGTGGTGCCCCCTTGGCTTTCCACCTCTGCCTCCAGCACAGCACAGCCGCCTCCTGACCTCAGAGGGAGCAAGCCACCTCCCACGACCTCACAGTGTGTGGCTGTGAGCGAGGGTCCCCAGCTGAGCTGCTTGGGGGTCATGCAGGATGCAGGGCAAGGCCGGGTGTCCAGGGCCCCCAGAACTGCTCCTGTCCACTCATAAGCCAGGTTCAGCTCTATTCAAGACACTTGTCCCTGGGCCCACCCCAGGCCCTTCCCCCAGGGGAGTCAGGCAGTGGAAACATCGGGCAACAGCCCAGCAATGTGGGGCCACACCATCCCCGGGAAGAAGGGGGCAGGGTGCTGAAGCCCCTCAGGTCAGAGTCAGTGACTCAGATCCCTGTGCTCCCCTTAACAGCCTTACGCCCTCAAACTTGCATAAGCGGGAAGGAGCCAGCCAGGCGGTGGCAGTGCTGACCGACGGGGGGACAGTGGCCCTGGACGGCAGACAGCAAGTCCCGACCCCTGATGGAACTGCTTTCCACCCAGCACCTGCCTCCTCCACCCACAGCCCTTGGTGTGGGCCAGCCAGGACCACCAGGGCTGGACAGAAGCCACCTTGGGGCTGAGGGACTCAGAGACATGGCCTGTCAGCTCTGTCCCGAGTGGATCCAGGACAGTAAGGCGGACACAGAGGCCTCCCATCCGGCTCGGTGGTGTCTCCACCTCAAACCACAGTCCCAGCTGCTTGCCAGTTCTGTGTCCCGCCCAGGCCCAGTCATGAAGGAGGGCGCTCAGGGAGGGCTCTGTTGGCCTGACACAGGCCAACGCAGGGCCATGACCCCCTAAGGAGAGCCGTGAGCCAGGCTGGGTTCCCCCAGAGCTGGGCCCCTCTGGTGGGCTTAGGGTCTCTCGCTGTAGTGCTGTGGGCCCTGCTACCATGGCCAGCGTGCAGAAAGCTGGCAAGTCCCCCCAAGAGAGCACACACAGCACGGAGAGAGACACAAAGTGGGCTCTTGCCCACCGGAACCTGGTCCTGCGGGCCCCACACTCCCAGCCCCAGGCCCCTTGCTCCAGCCCAGCTGGCAGACACCCAGGCTGCCTGCCTTCTGCGCCTACCCCAGTGCTCTGTCCTCACTCCTTCTCTTCCACCCCGTTCCCAGCACCCTCAGCTGCAAGGGGCGCAGACTGCATCTATTTCCATCTATGTAACAAGCACAGATCAGGGACCTAATTGGTTTCCCAGTGGTGGGTAATTTCTCATTCCCAATATTAATCCGTTGTTTTCCTGGCGCCCGGCCCAGCCCGCCGCAGCCCTGTGCAGGGATGTGTGTTCCTATGCAACCCGGAGCCCCAGCAAACACTTTACGAGCTTTGCAGCTTCCAGTGTGAGCAGCTATGCAAATGTGCTTTTCCTGGGAGCTCAGGGCTGACGCAGAGATAAGGAATTGCACCTCCCAGAGGAGAGCTGTCTGGTTTCTGTGGCTTCCAAGCCCCCAGCCCCTCTGCTCACCTCCCAGGTGTGGCAGGCACCCCTGACTGCTTCCCTGGCAAAGCTAGGGCCAGCTGACCACCTCTGCAAACCAGTGCTGGTGCTTTAAAGGAACCCAGCGCCCGCCTGAGGCACCAGGAGGGTCGGATTTGCCAGGGAGCGTGCACAAACACTACACGCACACACTCACTCTGGAGTTGGAGCTGACGTTTATCATAATTGTATGTACTGTGCAATTTAGGAAGGGGGAAACTGTACGAGCATTAACTCTAAAATAAATTTCTATTTTTTTTCTTTTGCAAAATCAATAAAAGATGTTATTAAGAATGCCGTCTTCAGCTCCAGATTTGGGGTGAGAAGGAAGGGAACACTTACTTCCTCTGATAACTGAGTCCTTGACTGCTTGCTGGGGCTGGCGGGGCGGCAGGCCTATTCAGAGCCTCATTCTCCCCTCGGTAAATGGGACAGTGACTCAACCTGCCTCCATGGCCAGAGTCCCCTCACCATGTCAGACAGAGAGCAGCCAGTCCACAGAGAGGGGTGGGCACATGTCACTCTCCAGCGCCGACCCACTGAAGCCACTAGCAGCCGTGTGAGGGAGGCTTCACTGTCTGCCACATTTGACAGAGAGAGGCAGAGGAACTGGCTGAGGAGTTTACACCCAGCTCTGAAAGGTCTAGTGCACAGATCCTGAGAGGACACATCCCGTGGGAAAGCACGTCCCATGGGGGGACAAGAGGGAAAGGCCCGTGGGGGGACAGTGGGGCATATCCCATTGTAGGACAGTAGGGCACGTCCTATGGGGGGCCAGCAGGACATGTCCTGCAGGACAGTGGGGCACATCCCATGGGGGGACAGTGGGTCATGCCCTGTGGGAGGACACGGTCTGTGGGCTTGGGTTCTCAGTTTTTCTCCCCCTGTTTTAAATCCTGGATTCCCAGCTCCAGATGCCCCCCCCCCACGCCCTGCTGCCTTCCAAGAGCTTGTTGGCATCTCTTGGCTGTGGACAAAGCTGCCTTCAGGTGGCAGGCAGGGTACCCTCCAGTGAGTTTTCAGAGGCTGTGAATCTCTCGGGGATTCACCCTCCTGTGGGGAGCTGGTGGAGTTGAACGACGCGTCTTTGCGGTGACAGCACCACTCCTTAGTTACCTTCATTCAAATATCAGAGTCCATGTTCAAGTTCACAAGACAAGGAGACTGGACCAGGAGCCCCGTCCCAGCAGCCTTCAGTGTTGCCCCCAGGCCTGCATCCGCACTTTGCGTCCGCCTCTGAGCATTTGAATTTGACGACAGACATACAGCACCTGCAGAGGGGCGTCCTCCTGCCCGTAGGGCGTCTGACTGCTCACACCTGTCTATTTCTCCATCTGGAGCAGCTCTGACCCTACAGCCACCATGACAGTTTCCAGTTCCTTCTGGAAAAGCGCTCCCAAGATCCTTTTGGGAAGGACAGTCTTATTTTGTAACAGTCATGAAAATGGGGGATTTTGCCCCTGCTTATTAAGTGAGGGGCAGCTGCCTGGTTCCTAGTCATGTGAATGGGTCACTGCTTAGCTTGTGTCCCCTGAAAAGCCACAGTGGCTGTCAGGTGGGGCTGCTGGAGACACCCCGGAGCTTCTAGAACCCTCTTCACAGATACAGATGTACAAGCAGAAGCTTCGGTAGCAAAAAAGAGGGATCTAAGGCTTTGGGGCTGAAGGTAGTGTTACCTGCCTCCCACCAGCTTCACCCGATGCCGCCAGACCCGTGCAGTCGACCCCTTACTCCTCACTCTCCGCATCCCCCGCCCCCAGCTGCCCACCCCAGGCCTCTGCCCTCAGCCAAGCAGAGAGCCAGCCGCAGTGAACCTGGTGGGCAGCATCCCAGGCCAGGCCGACTGTCTGTCAGGCAGTCAGTGTGTCAGTCAGTCTCGCTTTGAGGAGTCTCCCGATGCCCGAGGTCCCTCAGTGGGCTCAGTCTCCCCTCTATCCTGGACAGCCCAGGCCTCACCCATGAGTGGACAAGCGGAGCCACAGTCCAGCCATGCCATTCACCATGTGTGCACCGCCCCATGCTCCCAGGACAGGGAGGGGAGCTGGACTCCAGCCCCAGCCGGCTGGGTGCTCCCGGCTTCTGTTCACCCACTCAGGGTGCCTTTTCCTGGTTTCCACCCAGGTACCCTATGGCCTCCAGTCTCCTTCCTGTCCCATCAGAGCCCCAAGCAGGTGAAAGGGCAGCCTAGCGGGGCCTCCCTGCGTCACCCATCTCCATCCACCTCCACTCGCAGACGTTCCTTCTCTCCATCCCCAGGGCCAACTTGGCGGGACCCCCACCATCTCCCCTCCCCACTCCCTTTCTCCAAAGCCCTCCCCGCACACAGCTAGGACCATTCAGAATGCAGGTACATCAACCTCTGAACACCCTTCGATAAGGGTTCCTACTGATACGAAAACTGTGACTCCCTCAATGCCTCCAACATTCCTACAGAGCCCCCACAACCAACCCCAGGGCCTTTGCACATGCCCTCTTCCCACACTGCACACAGCTCCCAGCCCTGCTGCCAGGCCCCGCCCCCAGCACAGCCCTCCTTGACTCCTCTGGTCCAGATCATCTCACCTCATCTTGACAGCACCCTTCACCATTCAAAGTCATGCTTGTTACGATTATCAGAGTAATCCGTGTCCTCCACCGGAGTACATGCTCCACGGAGGTGACTACTGTCTCGTTCACCTCAGCAGCTACAGGTCTCCTCTCAGGGCCTGGTACGTGGGTGTCCTTTAGAAAACACTTCTCGAGTGAATGTATTTCAAAGCACTCATGGGGTAGTGTCAGGACTTGAACCCAGGTCCTGTGAGCTCCACGGCCCCAGGCACTGCTTTCCATCCTCTCTTCATGCCCAGCAAGGGATCAGCCTCCTTGCAGCAGTCCCCCTTCCCAAGCGAGGAGACTCCCCCGGCAGGCGGGCTCAGGCCTGGCTGCAGCAGAGGAGCCCATGAATCAAGCTGACATTTCCATTACAACAGGGAGATGAGCGTGCGGCCAGGCTGGACCCGGCTCTGTGTGGGCTCCGGGATGACGGCCCATCACAGCCCCCCCCACCCCACTGAGGGACACCGGCCAGTTAGGTACTAAGGTCTGCACCTACACATCCGCCCCTCTGCCGAGGGAGGTCTCTGACCCCCAGGACTCCGCACTAAGCCGCTGCACACACAGGTGAGGTTGCAGGCCTGGGGCTGATTCACAGCAGCACCTGTGTGATACGCATGCGAGCACGGCCCATCCGTGCACCCATGTGCGCAGGACACACACGTGGGCAGGTGACGTCAGCATGCATGCAGTCATTCAGGGCCAGGTGTGCACGAGGACAGGTGTGCAGTGAGGCTCACGTAAGCAGGTGGCGTAGACACGTGGGGAGGCCTGCACATGCGTGTACCGGTACCGGGCCTGGTGTGGGTGAATGCACTGTTTGTGCAGGTGGGTACAGACATATGCACTAAGCTCATGCATATACAGAGAGAGAGTGTGTGTGTGTGTGTGTGTGTGTGTGTGTGTGTGTGTGTGTGTACGTACGTACGTGCACGTCTGGCTCCCAGCAGAATGCACGTTCCCCCAAGCTCAGGCCTCCTAGGAGAAGGGGGTGGAGTGCCCAAGGCAGAGAGCAAAATGTGAACTGGGTCTGATCAATGCTCGGGTGTTGAAACTGGAAGGCACACGCCCAGAGCCAACAGCCACGGCCACACTGGGCAGAGGATGGCCTTCGAGCACAGGAGCTGTTGGGAAGGGCTGGGAAAGAGGCCTTACATTCTCACTGCATCCCGGTGGGCTCGCCCGGCTCCCACTGCCTGCCCACCACACAGTGCCCCCCACCACAGTGCCCCCCACCGCGCAGTGCCCCCCACCACACAAGCCACCCATTGATGGGGGTGCTCGCTACCTGCCTGCAGGTGAGCCTCAGTGACCAACTTTGCAATTTGACAAGAGGTCCCTAGCGTCCTCTACCCAGCACCCAGCAGGCAGGGACCGGAGGACCTGCAGTCGGAGTGACTGACCCCTGGGACTTGGCAGATGGCAATGACCACTTGACTTGAGTATGCACTGTCCACACTCATCACTCTCTACTTGCACAATTATTTATTGAATGCTTTACTTGAAGCAGACTCTTCTTTTTACGTGAAATGCCCATTTTGGTTTCATCCTAAGCAGTAATGTCTGTGAAGTCGTGGCACGGAGGTGCCCGTTACACAGTTTGGGGTTTTGTTGCTAATACATGTTTACATAAACACAACTATTAAAATAGATAGAAATGTTGCCCATGTGCCGACTGAAAGCCTCTCTCAGACCTCCGGTAGACCACGAGCCAGCAGCAGAAAGACCCTGGTGAGAAAAGCCAGTCCCCGGGCGCCTGGTGCCCAGGCCAGACTCGAACTCCCTCCAGCCCAGAGGCTAACACCAGACACTCCCCTGGCATTCAAGGTCTTTGCTGTTTGGCCCCTGTCTCTCTTCAGAGCCCGTTTACCACCCAACCCAGCAGGTACTCAAGTATTTACTGAAGGAGTAAGAAGTGGATTTCTGAACCATGCCTGTCTGTGGTGAGCCAATGCACGCATGCACAGGTGAATTAATGAATACATGACACACGCCTCGGGATCCCCCAGGCACCCGAGGCTCCAGGCCTCCCCATCCTCTCCCGGCCTCCCGCTGCTGACCGCTGCCGGAGTCTCCACACCAGTCTCTCTCCACCCTCTCCTGAACCTGCCCGCATGCTCCCATCCCTGACCGGGCCCTTTCTTAGACCAGACCACTCCTCTAACTTGGGGTACAGTAAGAATGGAGCAGGGTCCTGCCTCCCCACATTTATCTCTGCTATAGTAATCACCCCAACATGCAGCCCTGGCCACACTCTCTTTGGCTGCTGTTGTTGTTATGTGCCGTCGAGTCGCTTGAAAAATAAAATCTGCTCCCAGACAGAATCCCAGACTCCTCACGGCCCACCTCTCCTTCCTGGTTCCTGCAGTCCCATTCTCAGCACTCCTGTCCCCTTGTCTTTATAGCCTTCCCTCTGGACCTCCCATATGGACCATGGGAAAGTCCCTAGAATGGTCTGGAAGTTCCCCGCAAGCCCGTGCTTACCCGCGTGTGACCCCAGACAACCTTCGTATCCCAGCGTAAATGTAATCTCCCAAAGAATCCTCCAGAGCGCCCCACTCTCAGCCCCTGCATCCACTCCCTTTGGCCAACAACCTTAGCTTCCCCTCCTCACAGCACAACAGCAAACACAAAGCGCTGACTCTGCCAGGCCTTTCGTGTCACCCTCACAACTCGAGGAGGGAGGGATGATGATGGTGAATGTCATTTAATGGAGGAGGAAACGGAGGCACCGAGAGGTCAAAGAACTCGCCCAAAGTCACAAGTAGAGGAGCTGCGGCCTGAGCCCGAGAGTCCTCCGCAGAGCCACGCACCACAGCACGGCCCTTGCCCGCTGCGGGTGTCCGAGGGTCTGTCCTCACATCTGGGAGCTCTGGAGCTCAGACAGCCTCGCACGAGCTCTATCTCAGGTCCCTGCCGCAGGAGGAGCACACAGTAGGAGCACACAGTAGGAGCACAGTCATAAAAGGGGTGGATACACGGATACATGGAGGAAGGCTGCCTAATAAGTGATGCTCGGAAGGACTGATGGATGTCTGATGCAAGGTTGGCAAATAATGGATAGCACTGTTTGGATGGATGATGGACGGAGGAAGATGAAGGATGGCTGGATGGCGAGATGATGAGAAAGGATGGCTGGCTGATGGGTGGGTGGAAGGATGGATGGGAGCATGATGGGTTGATGGATGGTGACGGGTGGGTGGGGGATGGATGAAGACTGGCTGGGTGGTGGGTGAATGGATGATGGATGGACAGGTAGATGATGGCTGTAGATTTATGGATGAATGAGAAGAAAGGGCTCTGCTTGAGGGAAACCTTTAGAGATACTTCTGGGAAGAGATCTGTTTGGAGAGATTACTGGAGTTGGAGTCAATTTTGGTTCAAACTTGAGCTCTGACATTTGCTAGTTCTGTGAACTTGGGCAAGTTCCTTCACCTCTGTGACCTGAAATGTCTTCATCTTCATGACAGGGAGTATTTCTCCAGACGTCTAAGGCCTAGAATTTTATGGAAAGGTGACCCTGGACTCAGGACTAAGGGTCCCCTATGGGAGTCAGGGCATTGCTAAGCTTTCCAGAGAAATGTGGTTCCGCTAACTCCCCAGTTTGGGGCTTGAGTTCAGGGGCCCAGCTCTGGACCACCCGCAATGCCTGCTTGTCTGGCCTCTGCTCTCTGGAGCCCAAGGCAGCCCTGCCAGTCTCTCTCTGTACTTCTCCTCAGCCCAGTTGCTAGGCTCCCTTCCAGCCACACCCTCGGTGCCTGTTCCTCAGCTCAGCACCCTCAGGACTGATGAACACACAAGTGGGGTAACAGGCAGCCCCAAGAGCAACTGGCCTTCACACACAGCAACCAGGCAGGTCAACATGTATTTATTGAGCCCCTGCTGTGTGTCTACCATGTGACCTCCACCTTAGAGCCAGCGCAGCTGTCCCCGCCCCCCTACAAGCTTTGCAACCTCTGGGCACCTTCTGGGTTCCCTGGCTGGCTTCTGGGCACCCAGGCATTCAGTAGCTGGTGTCAATGTTGTTCCTGGTACCAGCCACCCCCTGCAGGCCTGTGGTGATGACAAGAGTTAGGGGTCGCTGTCCCAAAGTAGCCATGTGCAGCACTGTATGTCCCCTCACCCCAGGGCTCTGAGGCCCAGGCTGCCTCGGGAAGGCCAGGCCTGGTGTCTTCCGAGAAGGCTGGCTGAGCTCATAGCACACAGGTCAGACTCCTGGTGGTGCCAGACTGGTGGGCTTGGGGCAGGAGGGTGGTGCCGGCTGTAGCCTGAGGTCCAGGGCCAAGGTGGGGTCTCCGTCACACCCAGTGCCCAAGGACCCAGCACTGGCGGTTCAGCTCTGGTGCTTCCTGTGCAGAAGTCCGGGGCCAGGAGTCCCCCATGTGTAGCTGGTGTCCTGCCAAGAGAAAAAGCAGTCAGCACTGCAACCACAGCGTTTCAACTGCACACCATCCATCCACCATCCCACCCCTCCATCAACACACCATCCACCCATCATCCCACTTTCCGTCACCACACTGTCCTCCCACCATCCCACCCCTCTGTCAGCACACCATCCATCCATCACCCCACCCTCCGTCAGCACACCATCCACCCATCATCCCACCCTCTGTCAGCACACCATCCACCCATCATCCCACCTTTCCGTCACCACACTATCCTCCCACCATCCCACCCATCATCCCTCCCCTCCGTCAGCTCACCATCACCCA